TGATTTGTCTGACATTTCACCAGATGAAGTGGGAAAAGAGTAAATATCTAAGCTTGTTTCACATTTGCAAAATTTTGAGAAGTATTTGTGTCAATTTTTGAATACATATATAACCAAAACCATTATAAATGGATTTTTAAAATTATTATTATTATTATTATGTAGAAAATTTACTTTTAAAAAGAAAATTTAAATAAATATTTTCAGTGTTGAAAGTGCTATGTCTGGCATTGAGAAAATTGCAAAACCTACAGGTCCAAGGACTAAGAGCTTTAAGCCATTTTCAGACAGTTTTGTGGATCCTTTTAGGTTTGACAACATTGCTCTTTTGTCACACATATTAAAATGTTTTTTTCTAAGGCCAACAATAAAAATTAATTTGTTTGATGTACTCCGACAGACCCGTCATAATTGCCCTTACCCAATCTTTTTTCCTCCAGTACTATAAATTTTAATTTTTTTGGGGGGGGAGGGGGGGATTCAAGGGAAATAGACATTGTTTCATTTTAAAGCAGGGGTTGAAATTTTCCTGGAAAACCCACTAGCCCAGGGGCTACTGATCAGTGAAAAATTACTAACCCAAACCTCAAACTACTAGTAACTAGCCCAAAATTTTTTTTATGCAAAATGAAAACATAAGTTAAATTAAAGTTTCAAATGCTGTGGTGACAGAAGCAAATTAAACTACAATGTAGTTCTTATTCAAAAGAAACGAGTCTACATAGATAAGCAAAAGTAAACTGATGAGAATTTTTTTTCCCTTCTGCTAGTCCGACGGACTATCGTTACATTTAAATTAGCTAGCCCGAGTCTTAAATTGACTAGCCCCGGGCGTCGGGCTACCGTATATTTCAACCCCTGTAAAGGTTTATAATTCTCTAAGATACCTTTTTGAAATAGCATTTTTATAGCAATAAATATTAAATCTGTCTTATCCGGTGTATCATGAAATCGTCAATAAATCTTAAGTGTATGCTTTTTATGACAGTAATCGATGTTAGCTATAGATACTGCAAAAAAAAAGAAAGAAAGAAAGAAAGAAAAAGAAAGAAACAAACAAACAAAACCACAAAAAAAAACCCACCGACATACGTACCCACCTTGAAAAAATGTAAGTCGGAGTACATAAAAAAATTTATTATTATTATTAGTGATGGCCTAAATACGTCATGTATTGTTTTAGCATGGATGATTTTGATATATGCATTTTTATTAGATTGACAATGAGTGCCTCTGAACTGACATGCGAAGAAAATGACTCTTCTGATGATGAAGAGTATGAGCCAAGTTTCCACCTGTCTTTAAAGTAATTTTTATTATAATTATTATTTACTAAGTAATATAAAATTTAATTAAAAGAGGTTTAATATGTTTAATCATTGTAAATATTTCAGATAGATGAAACATACTAATGGGGAAAATTATTGCTAATTGGTTCATTTAACTGTAATAACATAAATTTTAAATTTTTTTTTTATTCTCTCTATAGACTTGACCATGGTGTGACGTTAGATGAGTCGGATTCAGAGGAGATTGAGGACGATGAAGAAAAATTTGTAGAACATGCTGAGTATGGTTGTCTACCAGTTATACGCAACAATGATGAAATCGAACAACTGGTCCACGATTGTCCAGCCATGGTTTACATTAATCAGCTGATTACCTTGGCAGAAACAGGAGTCCCTAAGATTTGTAGGGTGAAAGGATGTGAAGCTCAAGTTCACATTTCATCAGAAGTAGTCTCTTCAGCTGTGTACCTGAGATGGGTAATCAACTTCAGTATGATTTTAAAAGAATCATAATAATATAATACATATTGTGACAAGGCATCATTCACCTTTTTTTTTGAAATACAAAGGCACTTATTAAATTTCTGTTCCAGGTCTGCACAAACAATCATGAGGCACACAGATGGTGTTCGCAACCTCTTCTTAATAGACGTGTTCACAGTGGGGATGTTTTACTCTCAGCAGCTTTACTGGCTTCAGGAAATAATTTTCAAAAGATTTCTCTGTTTTTTAAGTTCCTGAAGCTCCCCATTCTGTCTGTCTCATCATTTATAAAGATACAAAGAACCTATGTCACTCCAACAATTGAAGAAATTTGGAAAAAGCATCAGAATGAAATTCTAGAAGAATTCAGAGGAAATGATGTTGTTGTTCTTGGTGAGTACAATATCAATTCAATCAAATGCTTGTATTGTTTGTTTTGTCAAGAAGAGGATATGTTAAAATTTTCTTTTATTTTAATTATTTGTTTCTTTTGTTTGTTTGCTTAGGCGATGGTCGTATGGACAGTCCAGGTCACTCTGCACAGTACTGTACGTACACATTTATGGAAAATGAAACCCACAAGATACTGTGCTTAGTGACCATGGACAAGAGAATGACAGGAAGAAAAAGTGCAATCCTTGAAAAGGCGTGTTTTCAGAAGGGCCTGCAGTTTCTCCTTGAAAAAGAAATAAATGTGGTGGAAGTGGTGACAGATGCACATGTGCAGATTGAAGCTTTAATGAGTATGTGTCTTTGTATATTTCTTATTTCTTTGTTGTTGTTGTTTTTTTTTTTAGCTTAAATCTGTAATTAGGATTTTCCTGATTTTTCTTTAGGGATAAATATATAAATTAGATTTACTGTAGCTATCATCATTTTTTATAACAGAAAAAGATTACCCAGAAATAAAGCATTCATTCGACATCTGGCATGGGTCAAAAAACCTTGGGAAAAAACTAATAAAGGTTAGACAATTTAAGATTTTTATTTTGAGAACATTTTCAAAATTTGGAATAATGCTAAATGAGTAAACTGAATTTTGAACACTATTTTCAGGCTGGACAAGAAAAATAAAAAAAAAAACAATATTACAGTGGACAAGAGAGATAGTAAACCATTTTTGGTTTTGTTCCTCTGTAGCAAATACAGAAGAAGAGTTTATTGTAAGTTTGAACTGTAAACAGAAAAACCACTTGATTCAGTTTGTGTTAATAGAGAGTGAAAATTTTTTTTTTTAGACTGTTCTTTTTTTCAGGGCATTTGGTTTGGAGTCATACATCATGTTGTGAATGAGCATGAATGGATTTTGCCATACAGAGCAGGAGCAAAAAGTTCATGCCAGCATGGTCCATTAGCAGAGGAAAGGAACAAAGATTGGCTTGAGGCAGGATCCCCAGCACATGTTGCCGTGCGTGAAATTGTCAGGGACAAAAGACTAATAAAGAAGATTCCTTACTACCTTAATTGCCGGTATACACAAAATTGATTGCAGACACATTTCTACAGATATTTTCTATATATGCATATCCAATTATAATGTTTCCATTAGAAAATGAAAACACAAATGTGATATATATAATGGATTTCTTAAATGTTAGATTAAAACTTTTCAAGAAGATTTCACCATGTATATAGTTTAGTGATTTTTTTATTTTATTTTTTTTTTACAGAAGTACAGCCGCTTTGGAGAACTTTCAAAACCTTATTTTGAAGTACGCATCAAAGCGCCATTCTTACACACCTCCAGTGTACAGAGCTAGAAACCTTGTTGCTGCACTGGACCACAATGCAAATTGTGATAGAGAAGCTGCCAAAAGAAAAGATGGATCACTAAGGTTTCTTTTTGTCTCATTCATTTATTTTATAAGTTAAAATCTACAATATACCATTGTAAATCATTTTGCTGACTAGGTTGGAATGCATTATGAAATACATTGAATCTTGTACTTTAGGCACCAGCGGTACTACAGCAAAAAAAGTGGAAGATGGTCCGCCTACCCAGTAAGAGAAGAAAAACAATATCCATATGCAACTGACATCATGAAACTGTGTCTTCAGAACAGGATTTTTGACCCTATTGGTATGAACAGGCCAGTTGTCCTTGATGTGGAGGATCCACGACGTGTGTCCGAGACCCTAGCTCCTGTTGCTCCACCGCCAACTGAATCTCTGGTGGCAGAGAAGAAATCTCGATTTCTCCTTGAGAGCATTTAATTAGTCAGATCATGAAAAGGGACATGTCTCTGATCTTGTTTAATATTGCAATATTGAACATTTTACCTGTAACAACAAGAAGTCGGTGAGCGAATGCTTACTAGTAAACCCCCCGCTCTGATGTGAATATACACTCTCATGTTGACATCAAATTCATACAAAAATGAATCCCACGTTGCACCATATGGCATGCCTAAACAAAGATTGTGCTAAAATTTCAAGCATTTGCGCTGAATAGTTGATGAGAAAACTGCGACGGAAATTTGGTACATACAGACACATGGATTAACAGGAAGTTGACATCGGATTCAAACAAACATGAATCCACCATATGGCATGCCTAAACAAAGATTGTGCTAAAACTTCAAGCATCTGTGATAAGTAGTTGCTGAGAAAACTGCGACAAAAAATTTGTTACGGACAGACGCACGGATAAAGAGGAAGTTGACATCGGATTCAAATAAAAATGAATCCCACCATATGGCAAACCTAAACAAAGATTGTGCTAAAATTTCAAGCATCTGTGTTGAGTAATTGCCGAGAAAACTGCAAAAAAAAATTATGGACAGACACGGACACACAGACATACACACAAGGGTAAAACAGTATACCCCCCACTCCTTTGGAGCGGGGTATAACTATGATATTGCAATCTTGTTACTTCTATTTAATTCAAAATTATGCAAGCTACTTACAACAAGGATGGTGTTGCAATCGAAAAACTTTTTAGATTTATGATATGCAATTTTCTGAACTGCTTGGATACTTTGAACATTTATGTTATTGCAGAATTTTGTAAATTTGTAAATAATTCCTTTAACTTTGACACCCAAGTAACTCATCAATAGGTGTTTGATACAGTCTTTTAAATATGACATTGCATGTTTTGCTTCTTTTGTTTTTTTTTTCACATTGATGAATGAAAATGATACTTTGTATTTCAAAGATTTATTCAATGTTTAATTAACCTTATAATTATATAAAAACAGCAATATATGAAAATCAAATGTTGTTTTTATCAATCTAAGACTCCTTCTATGTATCCCACATATTGACCAGAAGGTTCAGGATATTAGTCTCGAATTTTCCATATGCAGCAGCTGGGAATGACCTTTTGGTTTCCAGCTCCAAGACGGCCATGCATCCACATAACATATTGTCTGTAAGCTGTATGCCGATGAGCTCTGTTGTAGTTGTCATCTCTAGGTTCTGCCAAAGCATCATTCCTAAATCTCATGGCAACTTCCAGAACCAATTCATCTAGCACTATGGTATAGAAATCCTATACATAATAGACATTACACTGCAGTTTAGTACATGAAATGACTGTTTATCTTCACCTTTTTTCATATCTAGTTGGTGTATAATAATATTTTGATCAGAATTTGAAAAAATGAAAACTTACAGCTAATTTTGTGTGACAGTTCTGGGGTATTTTTCCACAGCACAGTTTTTCCCTCTCGGTAGGCATCTCCCTACAGTTATTGCAAGAGCACCAGTCTGGAACCGCAGGGCTACTCCCTGGTGTTGGATCACCATTATCATTTGCAGTTTTCAGGACATCCATCAATAACGAAGGCTGTTTCTTGCAGACTAACTTGAGAGTTTCCTGTAGTGCAGCCAAGTCCATATTGGAAATACATTCCTGAAATTGAAGTGCTTGTTTTAAAAGAATTTTATTGATATTTAAAGCTGGCTGAAATATGAACTTTATATATTTCAATTGATATAGACATTGATATAGACATTTTATAATATATAAATATTAATATATATGTATATATACTTCAAGCTCAGATTGTCATTCCCGTCGAGCTTGTGATGCCATTTCCAGTCTATTCAATCCAGCTGGCTGCATGCGCTGTCGTCCTCTGCACCTACCACGTCCGCGACCTCTCAAGACCTAAAATCATAAACAACACTTCATTTGTTTTTTATGTTTTATTGGGGGGGGGGGGGGTAGGGGAGGAGTAGATCAGTAGCTTTAAACTGTCACACTTTTTTTTTGGGGGGGGGGGGTTAAAGAGTTTAAATAATTTGCTCCTACCCCAGTAGCTCTAGGCTGTCTGCCTCTACCACGCCCTCTTCGTCTGACATTGGATATCTCTTCATCTGATGAACTTGGTGAATTCGGTGAAACACTCCTTGACCTTGATCCATTTGATAACTATAAAATTAGTATGAATATAATCAAATATAATTTCAAAAATTATTTTATTTTTTACATTCAAGTAAAACCCACAGTACTTGGCCATATGTGAGCCATATTTTTTTTTCCCCACTATATATTTCATTGAAAATCCATTTTTCTAAAATATTATTGCAGTGTCTTTTGTTGCTCATTTTTATTACTTAAACACATAAAATGTAGAATTTATTTGCAGATTCTTCACATAATTTCAAAATAAATTGAAAATAATTTTATCTGTAGTGTAAGAATTGCATTGATATAACATGTCAAATGTGAAAGTAAAATTCCAAGACTTTAACAAGAAATCATAATTTGAGGTAAGAAATTTTTGTCTTGAAAAATTCATGAATTATTCTCACTCTCAGTGTTTAGTGTATCATTTTGTTTTGCATTTTGAGACAAGAAAATTTGAACTATTCTGTATTATTCAGAAAAAAATTATGGAAATTGGACCTCACATTTTTTTTTAATTTTAGAAAAAGGTTTTTCCATGAAATATATAGGCTGAAAATGCAATTATGATTCACCTATTGCCATGATTATACTACATACACGTGTTGACAGAGAAATAATATTCTCAGCAAACTTGCATAAACTTGATCTACGCACAATTTTTTATAGGCCTAATGGTTAAAATTTTTTATAACTTTTTTTTCTATGCAGACACTATAAAATAAGTTCAAATTACTTGAGAGTGCAATAACTAGGCAAATAGGAGCGTAAAACGCGACTTGCAGCGTCTTACACATTCTACTGATCTGGAGATAGAAATCTCGTTGGGGGCCTCTTCATTTATGCAAACGTCACTCTATTTTCAGTTTAGCCTGTTATGCTTTCGGTGAGGCTTATTTGAGTTTTTAGGCAATTCTGTGAAAGAAACAACACTTTAAAAATGTTAAAGAGTAAATTTATCACGTACCTCTGATTCTTCCATCTTCGATTTGATAATGAATTCAGCATCTTGCACGCGCTGCTTAATACTCGGTTATCTCCGTATCCCGTCCCGAATATTAATTACCAGTAGACTGGTATTGCCTGTCTCTATCGTTCGAAAGAGACAGGTGACTACCGCCATCTAAGCCAGGAATTCCTGGCTTGATTGATGCGCCATCTATCGCCGCTGCTCTACGCTCTGGCATGGGAAATAATCACAATAAACTGATAAGCCGCGGCTATCTGCTGAGTCAGTGAGTCATCATAAACCGATGAATGTTTAAAATGTGTCAGTTTTAATTAATAAATGTTTCAGTTTTCTTTTATCCAAGTAATGTTGGGTATGTAATGTGATAGGAGCTTTGCAAGCTAATTAAAATACCTTCAGGC